ACTCAGCCCACATGAAGGGCACACCTCAAGTACCCAGCTTGGGTGATAGGGGAGGCTGTGCCACTGGACCCTACAGGACACCTACTATATTGGGCCACACAATCAAGACACAGAGGCAAAGCAGCTCTACCTGATACATAGGAAAAAAAAAAAAAAACACACACACAGGCTGCCAAAATGAGGTGACAAAGAAACATGGTCCAAATGAAAGAAGAGATCAAAACTCCAGTAAAAGCTAAAAAAAAAAATGGAGACAAGCAATCTATCAGAGGCAGAGTTCAAAACACTGGTTATAAGGATGCTCAAGGAACTTAGTGAGGACCTCAGCAGCATAAAAAAGACCCAGTCAGAAATGAAGGGTACACTCATTGAAATAAAGAATGATGTGCAGGGAAACAACAGTAGAGTGGATGAAGCCAAGAACCAAACCAGTGATTTGGAACATAAGGAAGCAAAAAGCAAACGTGCAGAACAAGAAGAAAAAAGAATCCATAAAAATTAGGATAGTAAAAACAGCCTCAAGAGGCCCAATATTTGTATATAGGGGTGCCAGAAGGAGAGGAGAAAGAGCAAGAAATTGGAAATCTATCTGAAAAAATAGTGACAGAAAACTTCCCTAATTTGGTGAAGGCAATAAACATGCAAGTCCAGGAAGCACAGAGAGTCTCGATTATGATGGATGCAAAAAGCAATCTATCCAAGACACATCATAATTAAAAGGCCAAAGTTTAAAGATAAAGAATGACTCTTAAAAGTAGCAAGAGAAAAGAAGTTAGTTACCAGAGAGTTGCCAGATAGGAGGTGGGAGGGGAGAACTGGTGAAGAGGTGAGGGGATTAAGAAGTACAGATAGGTACTTACAGAATAGCCGTGGGGATGTGCAGTATGGTATCGGAAATGGAGGAGCCAAAGAACTTATATGTGTGACCCACGGACATGAACAATGGTGGGGGGATTGCCTGAGGGTGTAGGGGGTGGTGGGTGGAGGTGGACAAAGGGGGAAAATCAAGACAACTGTAATAGCATAATCAATAAAATATAATAAAATAATTTAATTAAAAAATGTAAGAACCCCCCCAAATTTCTTATTTTTATTGCGTCACTCCTGATCCCACCTCTCTGAACTCCTTTCCTTCTCCTCTCTGGCCGCGTACTCTTCTTTATGTTCCTCGGGCACACAGTTCCTGCCCAGCACACGGTCTTTGCACTGATGCTCCCTCCCTCCAGGGCTTCCCCCGTTGGCTCCTTTTCATCACCCAGGGCGCAGCTTAGGTGTCAACCCCATGGACACCTTCCTCAACCCGTGTCTGTCTTCCCCCAACACGATCAGCCAGCTTTATCTTCTTCTTAGCACTTCTCACTTCCTGGTAGTTGTTTATACTGTCTCCTTTAGAATGTAAATTCCACGTGGGTAGGGAGGGCAGTTTCTGTCTTGTTCACACTTTTATAATTATAAAGGCAAGCAGAATCCTTCTGTATCGATGTCAGTGGGGTGTCCTAGGGAACAGGAAGTGGGAAGCACTAGGAACCCAAGACAAAATAGCTTGTGGTGGTGGTGGTGGTGGCCAGGGAGGGTGAAGGGTGGGAGGCAGGTTCCCCCCTGCTCACCAGTGGTAGCATCAAAATATGGGCACATGGACCCCCAGACAGGGTTTCTCCCACTTAAGAACCACCTGAAGAATTCAGAGTGAACTGTCTCCCTGGGAGTGGAGTGGAGATGGACAACCTAGGTCCACATCTCTCCTTTTTTTAATGTATTGGTTTTAAGAGAGACAGGAAGGGGGGCGGATAGAGAGAGAGAGGGAGGGAGGGAGAGGCATTCTTAATCCTCTCACCTCTTCGCAGGTTCTCCCCTCCCCCCTCCTATCTGGCAACTCTCTGGTAACTAACTTCTTTTCTCTTGCTACTTTTAAGAGTCATTCTTTATCTTTAAACTTTGGCCTTTTAATTATGACGTGTCTTGGAATAGACCTTTTTGCATCCATCGTAATCAAGACTCTCTGTGCTTCCTGGACTTGCATTCGTATGCTCATTGGTGGACTCTTGTCTGTGCCCTGACCTGGCATCAAACTGCGATGTTGGTGTATCAGGACCACACTCTGACCAACAAAGCTACCCAGCCAGGACCAAAACCCCTCTTCTTGAAGGAGCGCACTCATGTCTCCTGTGTCCTACCCCCACGGGAAGCCTGCCTGGGTCAGGAGGGAGAGAGAGCCCCGCAAAGCCAGCTAAGCAGATTTTCTTCTCCAAAGGGACTTAAGTCGCTGTCCGTGTCCTTGTGGAAAAGTACCAGTTTGTCCACAGGTCCTGAGACAAATAACTTAAGTCATCTCTAGGGAACTTCCGTTCTCCTAGTACCTTCGGGACTAATGCAAGATCTTCATAGGCCTATGGAGGTCGTGCTTAGATTCTACAAATAAAGTGGCTACTTAGATATACGCCATGCAGCATTTCAATGTGAGAGAGTATTGAGAAACCAAAACCAACAAGGCAATTGCCAACCCCTATTAGAAGCCAGACAAATTTACTTTAGGGGAATAGTATGGCATTTTCCCATTACTGATACCTAAACTTGCCACCAACACCCAAGTTTCTCAAAGCCCTTTGCTTCTACTCCTCCACTGGAATTCCTTCAGATCCCACTTCAAGGAAAATGGGTGACACAGCATGTCACAAGAGTGGACACGTCCCCTTGTTGCTAGGAGATAAAACCACCCCGGGAGCCCTCGTACTGAAGACTACCTTATCTCTCCCAGACACCTTTGGGTAGTATAGAAGTGAGACAGCTAGAAGCTCCTAGAGGAAGCCCAGCTAAGCCTTGCCCACACAGCTTAGAGAATCTTCATTCACACAGATGACGGCTTTCTGAGTGTTTACATGTATCATGCTCATAACAGCATTTGAACTTAATGAGCCTTCAAGGTATTTGAATGCTATCCCCCTCTGCAGAGGGATGGTAAGAAAACCCTTCTGGAGGGTAAGGGCACAACATACATCAAGAACTTTAAACATAATCCCACTTCCAGTAATTTTTTTTAAGATTTTATTTATTTATTTTTAGAGAGGGAAGGGAGGGAGATACAGAGAGAGAGAGAAACATCAATGTGCAGTTGCTGGGGGTTATGGCCTGCAACCCAGGCATGTACCCTGGCTGGGAATCGAACCTGCGACACTCCACTTCCAGTAATTTAATAAACAGAAGTACCATGAGCCCTGGCCGGATAGCTTCATGGTTAGAGCATCTTCCTGCTATGCCAAGGTTATGGGTTTGATCCCTGGTCAGGACACATACAGGAATCAATTGATGAATGCATCAATAAGTGGGACAATAACAAATCGATGTTTCTTTCTCTCCCTCCCTCTCTCTCTAAAAATCAATAAAATTAAAAAAAAATGTTTTTAAATACCATGATGTATACACAAGGGTGGCCACTGTAATATGTATAGTTGTGGAAAAGGACAGAGAAAATTGTGAATATTATGGAAATGATTTAAGATACACCCATATGATAGGGCATCATACTATTAAAATACATTTTGAATATTTAATAATACAAGGAGATGCTTAAGATACTATGTAACCTGCAGAATATAAAACTATAGTATTACCCCAACTTTGAAAAAAATTGTATATTTAATACATTTACATGCGCAGAAAAGGGCTAAAACAATTGCCCTACCTGAAGGAATTTTAGTTTTTTATATTTTCATAGGATTCCCCAAGTTTCTCATTCTAGATATAAAATTTTTAAAGAACCAGAGGCTAAGAGACCCAGTACTTCAAACCCATCATGTATGTGGTGGGCAGTGAGCTAGGAATTTCCCCAGTCATCTGCCCTCCGCAGCCACCAGCAGAGGGGGCATCTCTGCCTGCTCTGGGCCGGGGAACAGGCTCTGCTGTCTCACGTGGTCTGTGGGCCTGGGCGCCCTGGACTCCAGCCCAGGACAAGGCCCGTTTCCTGCGGCCCCGGCCCCGCAGGCCCACCGGCTGCGGCTCCCAGTGGGCCCTGGGGAGGCTTCCAGGGAAGGTCACTGCCAACACACAGCTGTGGACAGCTTGCCCACGAGCAGGGCCCTGGACTGGTTCCTAAACTCTTCATATCTTCCTCCCAAAGGATACAACTGTTTTTCCCGGGGAAGAAACAGAGGCTTCAGCACGAAGGCTTGAGGAGCCTTTCTGAGCAGTGTTTATCCACGTGCCCAGCTCTGCATGCTGGCGCCCTCTCCGAGCCTGTGGTATCTGCTGTCCTGCTTAGTGGCTTGGCATTTTGCCAGGCTGGGAGCAGGAGGACAGGGCAGGGCTGCTCGCCCCCACCCCCTCCACCAGCTGGCTCCTCGGTCTCTGCCCTGGATACTGAGACAAACAGACTGTGTGCTCTGGCGCCCTACTCAACCGGAGGGTGTGGGGGCGGGCGGGGGAGGGGGGCAGTCAGTAAATATCCCAGCTATGTGCACAATCAGGAATATCTGGCAGCCCATTTGATCTTTTGCAACTTTATCTCAAAGTCAGGGCCTACAGGCAGCTGGGAGGCCCATCGTACCCGAAGCCTGGTCCCAGGTACTGCCTTGGTGAGGGGTGCCCAATCCCCCAGCTGGCCCTGTTCCGGGTAGGTCGCGAGTGACACCAACTGCGAACTCTCATGCAGGCAAAGATGGAATTTTTCTCCACTGTTCCAGGGCTCGTCATCACTTCCTGTTCCCTCCCAGAGGCAGGAAGTTGCTTGGATGGGGTCACAGCAAGTCAGTGACATTCAGGACTGGAACGTGCTGCCTGGATCACCACTTTATCCTCCAGCACAGTTCCTAATGAAAAAAAAAGAACTACCTAGGGACCTTGGCCTAGGAAAAGGAAGGAAGGGACAAGGAGAATGGCATAATGCACACAAAATAACAATGGGAATAACCTGGGCTTTTTTTAAAGAAAGATTTTATTTATTTATTTATTTTTAGAGAGCGGGCAAGGGAAGGAGAAAGGGAGAGAAACATCAGTGTGTGGTTGCCTCTTGCATGCCCCCCACCAGGGACCTGGCCTGCAACCCAGGCATGTGCCCTGACTGGGAATCGAACCAGCAACCCTTTGGTTTGCAGTCCAGTGCTCAATCCACTGAGCCACACCAGCCAGGACAACCTGAAACTTTTTGACTCAGACTCTTTAACTCTTTCTACGGCCACCTAAGAGGACTGCATGTTCTAAAATGTTGGAGAAATACTGTATTAAAGAAATGTAAACAGATGGTCATGCAGGCCTCCTTGGAACCTAACATGGACTTACACTGTGAAGGGGTTTTAATGAGAACTGTCTTCAATCAACCATAAACTCAAGAGTCTGTAAGCGTTAGGCTTCCAGTGAACACACTTGAATTAGCGTCGCTCCAGGGTGAGCCCAGAAGGATCCCGGGAAGACAGGAAAGGCCCTAGACGAACCCCCGCCAGCCGTCATCCACTCTCTCTCAAACCGGAGTGCAGGATCAAACAAGGTCATACTCTCCCCCATATGGACTTAGCAAGGATTTGTGGTACTCTTCCACTTGCTGGTCGAAGCCGCTGGAAGAGAACCTCGCCTGGAAAAAGGTCACGGGAGTCAGGAGGTATTTTAGTGTCAGGCTGCTGAACTCAGAAGCCGGAAGAGGGAGAGCCTCGCTGCTGTGACACGGGGGTGAATCCTCGTGCCGCCTCACGTGCTGGGTCCCAGGGGCTGCTGAGCCGTCGCTGCCTCCCCTGGGGCCCACGTGGGGCCCCACACCGAATTCCTCCCCGGTTTCCGGAGAGATAAATTCCTCATCTGTGGACCTTAAATGAACTGAAAAACCCAAGGGGGCAGTCAGTGCGGTCACCCTCTGCTGGGACTCAGAGAAAGGGACTGCCCCACCCCACTCTTTGCTGCAGAGGTCTGGGAACAACTGCTTCTTAATCTGCAAAGGATGGTGGGAGGGCGCCTTCTGAAGGTTCCCAGAAAGGTTCTTCTTCTTGGCCTCCTCTGAGTCCCTGTCAGCTTGAAATCGATCAGCCTTCTCCTCAAGAGATTCAAACATGACACCCTGGGCTCTTGGCCTCTTGAGCCTCCTTCCTAACAGGCACAGAACACTTGGTTTTCTAGAGGAGGAACTCATGTATTGCCGCACAGAGTCTGGGATCGGGGGCGCGGAGAGCCTGGGGCTCAGGCTGTCCTGAAAGTAGTCCCTGTAGGGCTGTCGCCTGACAATGGGCACCACCTGGCAAGGCCTCAGCGCTGCGACGAAGGCACGGAGCTCCGAGTAGGAGGAATGGTCGGAGTAAGGGATGACGTGGATATTGGGGTGGGCGCGGTGGATATTCCGGCTGGTGGGAAGGACCGCAATAGTAGGGTGGGTCTGGTTCCAGCGCAGCATGGCGGAACGGCAGACCTCCATGTGGTCCACGGCATGGATGCGGCCGGCCTTCTCTTCCACTGTGAACACGTCTGCCAGGCCCAACAGCTGCACCAACTCCAGGCGCCGAGGACTCAGCACCACCCAGGTCTGGAACTCCAGGGCCAGGTGCTCCAGCAGGGACTCTTTGCCCAGGTTATAGAGTCCTGAAGAGTGGCAATGGGGTTGGGGAAAGGAAGAGAAGGAAGAGAATGAAGCTGTTGGGAATGCTACTAAATCAACCAAATGTTCAACAGAAACACACAACGTGAACGGAGCAACCAGAATACCTCAGGGATGGGAAGGCATGTGAGCTGAGGTGTATGGAAAATGGGGTAAACAGAGAAGTTAACACAGAATTCACTTGGACATTCAGTTCAACAAAGGAAAGCACCTACCAAGGCACAGACACTGTGACAACAGAAAGTCTCAGTCCTCTAGGAACATAATCTCCGTGGGAGCCCATAAACCACGTGGTACAGGGCAATGCTAGAGGCACGCACACAGAAAGTATCCTGAAAATGACAGCAGAGCTGAGTGTTAAAGGATGGGTCCAAGTAAACCTGGCGAGGGAAGGGAATGGCAGAGAACACTTTAAGAGGGGCTGGTGTTCATAAAGCACAAAGAAGGAACTGGTAAGAAATGACACTAGACGTTCAATGGATGAGTAGATGAAGAAGAAGATGTGGTACGTTTATACAATGGAACACTTCTTAACCCTAAGACCAGGTGAAATACAGCCACATGTGACAACATGGATGGATCCGGAGGATAACATGCTAAGGGGAAGAAGTCAGAGGGGAAAAAAACACTCATAGATGGGATATAAAACAGAAAGCAATGAATGAACAAACAAAACAAATGAACTCATAGGTGCAGACAACAGAAAGGGGGCTACCAGCGGGGTGGGGTGCATGGGGGGAGGATGAAGAGGATAAAGAGTCTCAAATACAGGAGTGGAAAAAAGTAGGTTTACAGTTGCAGTACAAATAAATACAATAATAAATAAATAAGCAATGAGTACTCACAACTGTAAACCTACTTTTGCCCGCCCCTGAACTGGTGAATGGAGCGAGACCAGACTTGGGTGGTGAGCACACAATGCACCACACAGATGACGCACTACAGAACTCTACACCTGAAACTTGCATGTTATTAACCGATGTTACCCCAACACATTTAATTTTAAAAAGTGACACACCCTGATCAGTGTGGCTCGGTCGGGCGTCATCCCGCAAAGTGAAAGGTGGCCGGCCGGTTCAGTTCACAGTCAGGGTGCAGGCCTGGGTCGCTGATTCGTCCCCTGGTCGGGGCATGTGCGAGGGGCAACCAGTCGATGTTTCTCTCCCCCTCTTTCTCCCTCCCTTCCCCCCTCTAGAAAATAAATAAACATTGAAATAAACACATAAATAAGAGGCGACCCTAGAGAGGTAAACGGGCCACACGCAGGGCCCTGTAGGTACTGCCGAGGAGCTCATGCTTCCTTGTGCAAGCGAAGGGAAGCCCCTGCAAAGTGTGGGGAGGGAAAACGGCTCATTCTAACTGCAGGAGCAATATGATCAGAGCAGGCTGGGCTTTCCTTAAAATCACCCCGCAGTGTGACTCAGTGGCCGGGAGGGGATGCTGAAAGCAGGAGTCCCGGTGAGAAGGCCCAAGCAGCGTTGACACGGGAGAAAGGGAGGCCCGAGTTTTAGTGCTGGCTGCGGGGGCAGATGTGGGAGATGTGTGCAGTGGCCGTCCTCAGACCCTCTCGGGGGGGTTCAGATCCACAACCAGACTCCGTGTGAGCTCCCTTAAAGAACTTATATTTTCATATCCGCACTATTCCTATGGTTCCAGTCTTCACTCTTTAGGCACAGATATAGCTGATTTTCTTTTCTCTCTCCCTATCCTCCCAACTTTTTTAAACCTCTTCTAGGTCCTTTACTACTAGACTGTAAGCCCTAACATTATTCATCTTTCTATCCCACTGCTTATCTGGCACATAGTAGGGGCTTATTATATATTTGCAAAACGAACCCAGCCCTCCTACAGACCCCCCCAGTGAGCTGTGCTCCTCTGGGAAAACTGCAGTGAAAACTCCGAGGACAGAAGGACCGACAGTTTGTGAGCAGTCACGCAATCCTGCGAGAAAGGGCTATTCCTCCGCGCATTTGGGGGTCACCCTGGCAGGTCCGCAATGTTTCCCACGCCCTTATTTGACCCTACCCTGAAACTCCTTTCAAAGTTGGGGCACATCCTTTTATAGCATTCGTCACGGTGGCAAATTTTTTCCCTTTTGTGGATTTATTATAATTTTGGAAACAGTCAAAAAAGTCATTTAGAACTAAACCTATCACCTTATTTATTAATTTATTTTAAAATATTTTCTTTTTATTTACTTATTTTTAGAGAGAGGGGGAGGTAGAAAGAGAGGGAAGAGAAACATCAGTGTGTGGTTGCCTCTCCCATGGCCCACAATGGGGACCTGGCCTGCAACTCAGGCATGTGCCCTGACTGGGAATCAAACTAGTGACCCTTTGCTTTGCAGTCCAGCACTCAATCCACTGAGCTACACCAGCCAGGGCAACCTATTATCTTTTTTAAAACAAAAATTGACTTTCATAAACTATCTCAAAAGGCAACTCCAAAAGAAGAGTCCCCACAATATGTTGTGCTCTTGTGGAAAACATTAGAACAAGGATACAGGTGGCTTCTCACTGTATCTAATTTTCAGCACAACACTCACTGGAACATCTGCATACTGATACATTGCATTTACTCATACAACAGATACTTATGAAATGCCTCATCAGGTATTAGGGGCATGTTGGGAACCGCCCTGCCTGGTTTCAGAAGCTGTAACCCCCACAAGGCTAAGGCTGAGGGAGCGACCTTTAGACCATAAGCCATAAGCCATTAAAGAGATGAAGCTTATCTCCCTGGCAGGATGCCCGCTTCTGCTCCTTTTACTTCATCCATAACTGGCCCCCAATGCTTGGTGGGTTAGCCAATGACGGGTAAGATTCCCAAAAGGGGGGAACAACCTAAGACAGGCATGATCATGTGGGAGGCCCCCAAGGAAGGACTTGGGGGGCTACAGCAAAAGGGGGTGGATGGACCCTCGCCCCTGGCCTTTGACAAAGCCTGAGTCCTCATTCTGTCTTCGAGAAAATCTCGTAATCTCTTGGCTGTCTTACTTCCCTTGCTCCACCTAAGCCTGAAACAATGACAGAGGGTGGTGCAGCCCTGTGCTGGAAAAGGCAGGTTCCCTAGGGCAATCAGGCCTAAGAAAGAATATGTAAAATCCTGTGAAACCTGCTTTGTTTAGAAAGCTCTTAATTAAATGATAAGGATCGAAGCAAGAAGTGAGTTTGTTCTTCAAAGTTTTATAGCTCTTTAGCTATCTGACCCTGACTCTAAATAGGCCCTTAGAGTTGTTATCTATCGTTTGATCCTTACTGCCTGACAATGATTAATGAGCTTTACCTGTATTCTTGTGCAAACGAACCCAATAAAAGCCCATTGAGGAAAAGGCTCTTGGCCCTTCTCCTTTGAGAGATCGGCCACCTTTCCTCCCCAAGCAGGTCTCATCTTGGTAGACTTATTCTCATCCGTGGCAGAGGGGAAGGCCCTGCAGGCAGAGCCCCCCCCCCCCCACAGGGGCATATCCATAATTAAAATAAACAGCCCTGCCATTCTGGAACTTACAGTCTAGCAAGAGGAGACAGATAATAAATAGTAAGTACATATATTATGGAACCCACTGTAAGGTGATGATCGTAATATTGTTCTTCTCCTACTTGAAACAAAGTTTTTTGTCCTTAGAGCAATGGTTGCCTTTAGCATAAGGTTCAAAACATCTTTTACAAGCACTTCAGCCCCTCCTGCCTTGCCAGTCTCCTCCCCCACTGTGCGCCTGTCACACTGGTTGCTGCTTCTCTGTCCCACAAACACATGAGACTTCTTCCCACGCTCATCCATGCTCTCAAGGGGTTTATGTGGGGGTAGGGGCAAGGGGAGTGGAGGGCAGACAATAAACAAAAGGTAAGAGCATGTTAAAACACAGGTACAGTGGAAGGTAATGAAAGCTATGAAAAAAATGAAACAGTGGAATCAGTAGGAGATCAAGAGTTGGTGATGTGGGAACAGAGATGGTGGGCAGACAGCAATTTTAAATAAGATGGTTAGGGCAGGCTTTATGGAGAAGGGGAGGTCTGCTGCACGAAGACTTGAAAGCCGTGAGACACCCGCAAAGAACCTAGTTGCACTACCTGTGGGTGAGAGAAAAAGGAAAGGAAACCGCTCACCGATCTTTACGTTGTGCTGCGGGTGCTTTCGAATGAGCTCCACAATCTGGCGGGTAGCTTCTTGTTGGGAAGGAAGAGCCAGCTCTGGGTTACAGTTGGTGTTGTCGAGGTACAAGGTATGGATCTGTTTCCCCACGCTCAGGGCTGGCTCCTTCAGCATGGACGGTGTATACCGAAAGTCACCTGGGGCAAAGAGAGACAAAAGGTAGGAGCCCAGTCTCCCACCTGCAACAACAAATGGGCATTTGCTTACTGGCCCATGGAAAACTGTCCTGGAGTCTGGCACTGAACTAATCGGCATAGTAGAGCTTCCTTGTGGGAATGCCTCTATCCTGCTCCAGTACAAGGCTTGGACCTTTAAAGTATGAGAAATCAGTTAAGAAAGGGTCAGTGCTTATATGAGAAGAAGCTAGGAGGCCTCCAGACTTCTGCTATAAGTTAAGGCTGCTCAAGGAAGTGTCTAGGCTGAAAGGTAGGAGGGGCCCTTGGGGAGGCCCACCTGTGTATAGGATGGTTCCAAAGTATCCTTCAAAGAGAAACATGACAGAGCCAGGGCAGTGATTGGCATCCATCAAGGTTACAGTCATGGTCTCTCTCCCAATTTCATCTAGAGGCAGGACATGGCTCTCACCAACCTCCAGGGCTCGGATCCACTGCTTAGACACCTGAGGAAACAGTTGGTCACACCCGTGAACACAGACTCCGCTCCCTGGACCGGAAGCTATTCCTTTCACGAAGGGAAAGGGAAAGCTGACCAAGTGCTGAGCCACCCTGAAGCAGGAGCTGTAATGTGGATCCCTAAACCATGTCCTCTTCCTTCTCCCACTCGTCACCCCACCCGTTCTGAACAATTCTAAATTAAGAACCTGGAAAACAGTCTAGTCAGTGGTGCTCAAACTTTCCTGATCATAATCCCCTGGGGACACCTGTTTAAAAAAATCCCACCAGATTTCCAGGACCTGTCCCGCTGTATCTACTGAATCAGATGGGGGTGGGGAAGAAGTGGTGGAGAATGTGTGTATCTACGAGGCACATTATGATGCGGCAAGTTTGGGGAACATTAGCCTAGCTTTTGTGAAAAGGCAGGAAGTTTCCTTGGTTGGACTAAAAGGTCTCCCAAACTTAGAGCTGATACACTCCCAAGTCCGCCAGGTGGAAGCCACACTCCTGTTTCGGCTCAAGATGCATTTCTGGGTTCAAACAACTCCCGCGCTGGTAGCAACCAGTCCTCCTGGCCTCTACGCTGTGACTCCAAGGCTGTGATAGATCTTAAGTCCCACCCAGACGCCAGGACCAGCGAGACCAGCGCTCGGAGCCCGACTCCAGCTCCCAGTACCTGCAGGTGTCGGTGCAGGAGGAAAGCGGTGACTGGGGAGCAGTAGAGAGGCCGTGCCCAGGTGCTAGACAGACCCACGGTGTGGTCCGAGTGCATATGGGACAGGAAAAAGAGCCGTGCGGAACCAGCCCGGCGCAGGCTCCAGAAGTCCACAGCGATGGGCGTGTGGGGGATCAGGGCCCCGTTCATGGTGGCGGGCTGGAGTCACCAATGGGATCCTCATGGAATCGGAGCTCCGGCGTGAGCCTCCTGCAGCGGCCTCGGAAAAAGGAACGCCCGGGCAAGGACAGGGCCAAAAAAGCCAGCCCCAAAGCGGAATGAATTACTAGAGCGGGCAGAAAAAAGGAAGGAAGTGACGGTGCTCGGGGAGTCGAGGTGGAATCGCACACTGAGGGCCTGCGGGCCGTCGCTCACACCCGCGCGCGGAGCGTCAATTCCCACCCGCGCGCGGGAGCCCTCCACTCAAAGCGCGCGCTACTGGGCGGAGACAGGCCGAAGCAGCCGATTTCCGATTCCCCGCCGCGGCTCCGCCGGACGGAGCCGCGGACAGCGCTCGGAGGTGAGAGGGTGGGGGAAGGGCGCCCTGAGGTCGGGGTCCCGGGCGGCGCTCGGCGCTCGCTAGGAGAGCGTGAGTGGCAGCTGCTCTGCGTGGTCTCTGGAGGAGGAGGCGGGACTTCCGCAGAAAGCGCGATAGGGCCTATCGGGGACCGCAACCGCGGGGAGGCGCCAGACGGGCGGCTCCTGAGCGAGAGGGTGGGGTCAGCGGACCGGGGGCCTGCGGGGCTGGAAATCCCGCGGGGGGCCTGAAGGTAGAGGGAAGAGCGGTGGGCGGAGTGAACCGGCCCGCGAGTCCAGGGGGAGGAACCCTAGGGCCTGCGGCGGTGGGGGCGAGGGCCGGCCGGGGCCTGAGCCGGCCGAAGCTTGAGTGTGCCAGGCCCAGGGGAGGCCACGGCAGCGGCGGGATCCCGCTTCTTGTCGTTTCACTGGCACTTGCTTTACCCAGGTTCCCACATCGGGGCTGTGGGGACCGCCCCGGGAGCGTTCGGGAAGATGCCGTACCTCGGCTCGGAGGACGTGGTGAAGGATCTGAAGCGGGCTCTGTGTAACCCTCACATTCAGGCCGACAGGCTGCGCTACCGGAATGTGATCCAGCGAGTGATTAGGTATCAGCCTACGCCCTCGCTCCCCCACCCCGGGCCCCACGGGCCGGCTGCCCCGCGAAGGGGTGACTGGACCAGGCCGTGCTGGGGTTTGGGCGTCTTGCTTCTCTGGAGTGCCATCTCGGTCTTCTCCCGGGAGGCTTATTTTTTACCTCGTTTATTCAGCTGGCTGGTTTCATCCATATCTTTAAACTACCGACTCCCAGACCTGTATCATACCTAGTACAGGCCGTTCTTATCTTCAGACCCACATGCTCCGCCTGCGTGGCATTTCCCCCAGGATGCTTCTTCAAAGACGTGCAAAATAGCACCTACGTCCTTTCCCCTCCCTAGACTGGCTCTTCCACATATCTGTGTGTTGAAGAATGTCGCTGCCCCGCTGCCCAAGCCAGGGAACCAATCTTGATGACGCCCGATCTTCGCTTCTCAAGTCAGATGAATTCAGAGTTCTAAATAGCCATCCTTTAGGGGAAAAAAAGTGGCATTGCTGTTCTGGTTTCGTTCCCAAAGCAATCGCAGGAGCATACAAGCGGGTCCCCTTGCCCCCTCATTTCAGGCAGAATGGTTTTTCCAACATATGAATTTGAACATACGCATCTTGCCTGCAGCTGGGGACCACAAACTTTAGTATGAACAAAAGTCCCTTGGGGTGCTTTAAAAAAATGTAGATTTTTTTTCCTCCAATCCAGTCATTGTGATTTCACTGGGGTGGAATGGAACCCAGGAATCTGCATTTTAAACAGATATTCCATCTGATTCCTGTAGGAGACCATAGGTGGAGAAATGGTCTACAGAATAAAATCCAAACTCTTTTTTTTTTTTTGAGTCATAACACTCAAGGAACACTGGGCTCACTCTACCTGTAGACTCCAAAGAATGTGCTGTTCTTGCCCATGTCCACCTGCCACGTGGCGTGTGTCATTATCTGTCTGCACACCTGCCTGGTGAGCCCTGCTCATTCAGCTGTTACTTCCTCTGTGGAGACCTCCTGTGCTTTCCTGGCAGGGGTAGACCTCTGTCTACTGTACTGCAGTTAGTTAGTGGTGTTCTTGCCTGGTTCCTCAGTAGTCTCTGAGTTGTTAAAGATATGAGACCGTACCTTCTTCAAGATTATGTCCCCAGAGCATCTCCCTGACGTGTAAAAGCTGAATTTCACTGGAATGTACCAGGAGTTCAGTAAGTGTTGGTTGAATGAATAGAATACTTATTGCAGGCCCCTGGTGTGACATGGTAGACCAGGGGGACCCGGTTGCTTCCCTCACAGAGATCACAGTCTAGTTGGATAACCAGTTCAGGTATACAACACCGCCCACGGGGGGTTGGGGATTATGCGTTTTACTTCTTCCTGCTCTGTGTGTTGGTTTCAGGCACATGACTCAAGGTGTGGACATGTCTGGTGTTTTCATGGAAATGGTAAAGGCCAGTGCCACCGTCGATATTGTTCAGAAGAAGCTGGTGTATCACTACATGTGCACATACGCCCCGCTGAAGCCAGATCTGGCTCTCCTGGCCATCAACACGCTGTGCAAGGACTGTTCGGACCCCAACCCGATGGTGCGAGGGCTGGCCCTACGGAGCATGTGTAGCCTCAGGTGAGCACTCTCTCCCCTGCCTGTTTCTCAGTGGCTGATGAATTCAGGAGGTCAAAGGGCAGGTTTTCAATGATCATTTATTTGAGCTCCTTCATCCTGGGGAAAACAATGTTGTAAGCTGAAAACAGGTTTTCAGACATTGTTTTGGCTTGCAGACCCATATCACATAGGTTCATCAGAGGGGGTTTTCCATCCTCACTCTAGGTGAAATAGTTTGTGGGGGTGCTCCACCTGCAGGGCCCCTACCCAGCCACCACAGATGAGAATAAGCCTACCAAGACATGATCTGCTCGTGGAGGAAAGGTGGCCAATCTCTCAAAGGAGAAGGGCCAAGAGCCTTTACCCCAATGGGCTTTCATTGGGTTCATTTTGCACAGAAATACAGGTAGAGTTCATTAATCATTATCAGGCAGTAAGAATCAAACAATAGATAACATACAAAGAACTCTGAGAGTCTGTTTTGAGTCAGGGTCTCTTAGCTAAAGGGCCATAAAACTTGGAGGAACAGCCCTGGCTGGTGTGGCTCAGTGGATCGAGCGCCAGACTGTGAAGCAAAGGGTCACTAGTTCAATTCCCAGTCAGAATACATGCCTGGGTGGCAGGCCAGGTCCCTGGTGGGGGGCACGTGAGAGGCAACCACACATTGATGTTTCTCTTCCTCTCTTTCTCCTTCCCTTCCCCTTTCTCTAAAAATAAATAAATAAAACCTTAAAAAAAAACTTAAAAAAAAAACTTTGAGGAACAAACTTCTTGCTTGGACCCTTATCATTTAATTGAGAACATTCTAAACAAAGCAGGTTTCACGGGATTTTACATATTCTTTCTTAGGCCTGATTGCCCTAGGGAACCCGCCTTTCCAGCACAGGGCTGCACCACCCTCTGTCATTGTTTCAGGCTTAAGTCAGGCAGGGGAAGTAAGGCAGCCAAGAGATTAGGAGACTCCTCTTAGACAGAATGAGGACTCAGGCTTTGTCAAAGCTGAGGGGCGAGGGTCCATCACCCCCTTTTGCTGTAGCCCCCCAAGTCCTTCCTTGAGGCTTCCCCATGATTTTGCCTGTCTTAGGTTGTTCCCCCCTTTTGGGAATCTTACCCGTCATTGGCTAACCAATCAAGCATTGGGGGCCAGGGAGGGTGAAGAAAAAGGAGCAGAAGCAGTGCCCCTGCCAGGGAGATAAGCTTTGTCTCCTTAGTGGCTTATGGTCGGTCTGCAGGTCGCTCCCTCAGCCTTAGCTATGGGGTGAGTGGGGGTGGTTACAGCTTCTGAAACCAGTCAGGGAGGTTCCCAACAATAGTTCTTAGTTCAGGTTAAAGATTTCTGAACAGTTGCGGCATGTGTGTGTGTATTTTTGCTTTTTGTGCAGCATTATTCCAAATGAAAAGTCAAATAAATAGGCCTTTTAAGTTTGGCAGCAGCTTTCTCCAGTTCATGATCTGATTGGTGCACATTCAGACACCCCCTGAATCCTCTGTGAAGTTATTAGGGGCCAACCTGTCCACACCAGGATTCCAGGATCTGGCTGACTCCAGGGTGTGTTGCTTAGGATGCCTGGCGTGCAGGAGTACATCCAGCAGCCTGTTCTCCACGGTCTGCGGGACAAGGCTTCGTACGTCAGGCGGGTGGCGGTCCTTGGCTGTGCCAAGATGCATAATCTTCACGGGGACTCTGAAGTGGGTAAGTGTCCGTGTAACCCGTCCTACTCAGCATGTATTTGTGCCTGCACTGTATGTATGACCCTGTGAAAGATCATGTAGCCTTGGTAGGAGGGAAGAATGTGGCCCCGTTTCTGTGCATGTCCCTTTAAGTAGGAGGCTTGATGTTTTCTGAGATTAGAGGAGCCCTTTCTTTGGGGCCCCGGTGAGATCCTTTGCCTTAGCTACTTAGAGTGGAGATGGCAAGTTTTTGGCTTTGACTTTCTGTTGCCTTTGTGATTTTTAGAGCAGAGCAGCTCAGCTTCGTCCGCTTGGAGCTCCTGCTGCAGCTCTATTCCTTTGACTCTGAAGTTTTTTCTTCTTTATCTGAGATCTGCGTTCTCTTTTGTAGATGGTGCCCTGGTAAATGAACTATACAGTTTGCTGCGTGACCAGGACCCAATTGTGGTGGTAAACTGCCTGAGGTCTCTAGAGGAAATTCTGAAACAGGAAGGAGGTGTTGTCATCAATAAGCCCATCGCCCACCATCTCTTAAATCGGTTTGGATGCCTCCCCGCGGTGCTCTTTTTATTACAATGAGATCTGCATCTTAGGGGGATCTTATCAGTGGGTTGAGTTAAGGAGAGACTGTGAACACCTTCTTTAGGGTAGTAAAGAAAGTTATTCACAACTATTAACTTCCTCATATTGCCTGGAGAGAATTTCTTTCACTTGCCTTAAGTCCTTTTGGTGCTAATGGCAGAAACAACCTGTGGGGGTAGGTCCTGCCCTCCTCTGCAGTCATGACGCCCCCAAACTA